ATTAAAATAATAATAATACAAGACTGCACGTAGAGTGTATACGACTATATAATGTACCTCTGTACAATGACTTGCTAATCAGGGGGTCTCGGTTTCGCTCCCAGTGATGGTTGAGAAAGTTCCCCGGGTTTTCCAGAGCAGGACAAATGGTCTGACAAGGACAGCTTCTGATTATTTGGATAGGACGAACAACCGAGGTCCCGTGTACACATTGGTGAGCACGTAAAATAACCCTTAACATTTGGGATCCGAAATAAGAGTCGGTCGTAGCGCCACTCCGGACAAAATGGCCATCATAGCACCCCGTCTTCGTTAGCCCAGCCTGAGCAGAACAGTAGGACGTTAAACCCGATTTCATTTCATTTCACGTCCCAAATAACACACTGTATGGCGTATAACCATCTTCATTAACCCAGTCAGAGCAGAACGGTAGGACGTTAAACCCAATTTCATTTCAGTTCACGTCCCTCATAACACACTGTATGACGTATAACCGTCTTCATTAGCCCAGTCGGAGCAGAACAGTAGGACGTTAAACCAAATTTCATTTCATTTCAAGTCCCTCATAACACACTGTATGACGTATGCCCGTCTTCATTAGCCCAGCCTGAGCAGAACAGTAGGACGTTAAACCCGATTTCATTTTATTTCACGTCCCTCATAACACACTGTATGGCGTATGCCCGTTTTCATTAGCCCAGTCGGTGCATAAAAGTAGGACGTTAACCCCTACCCCATTTCATTTCACCTCTTTTATGCAAACTAATATATGTAATACATGTAATAACACAGTCGTATTTTTTTTTGTTAACGTGAAAAGCAGTCAATATATGCACAATGTTTTCAATTGATGTTAAAATTGGGGTCATCGCTTGTGTATAGATATACCGTGACCTATGTAAATTGTACATATATGTTAGATAAAAATGATTATGAGTACCTCTTTCATCGTGTCGTAATATCGTATTGTGTTCATGCAACCATAAACCCTGCGGCGTCACATTTCAATATTTCACCGCCGACTCAACAAATTTTAGAATTTAGCATTGTGACGCAACTACCTTTTAGTCTGATGAACAATGATAGTTTTGTTCGGAATTCCACAAAAACGATGTATAAAAAAGTATAAATATTTGTTTTTATAAATTCCATCACTGTCGATATTTCAAATAAGATATAATGTAGGCTACCCGGTGTGGATTTAAGCTTTCTTTTAATTTTGAATCTTAATATTGTGGGGTTTTTATGAGTTAAAGAACAGATGAGCAAATAAGATTGTATGTAGACATTTTGCCAACATCAAAAATAAAGATAACTGAGGTAAAGATATGCCATGATCTATACTGAGTTGACGTTTAACGCCTCTAATCGTTCGGATGGGACGAAAACTGAGATCCCGTGTAAACGTTGGCATGTACGTAAAAGAACCCTTGACAGTTGAAATTTCGATAAAGGGTAGGCCGTAGCACCGCTATCCGGGGAAAATTTCCCTCATAGTCCAATGCATGGCGTATTCCCGTCTTAATTAGCTCAGTCGGAGCAGAACAGCAGGACATTAGACCCCATTTCAATTCCATTTCATTGTCGTTAAAGGCCGCCCCTTCCGCTTTCTCAATACCCCCCCCCCCTCTCTCTCTCTCTATTATGATAATGCTTTCTATTTTTTGATTATTAACTTCTGGTGAAATCTTAAATTGAAGATGGTTTGAAATCTAATGTATTATAATTAAAACTAGTATCTCCCAGGAAGAGTATAATTCTCAGATTTGAATGGCCTCTTTCAGTGTAAGTCCAATGTGAACTTCACGGACCATCATACTACAACATTAATTCAACATATAAAATGGGGGTAAATCGGAAATTGTCTTTGACCTAAAATGTCACTTATCACTGCCTATTATTTATGTTTTTGATCAATGTACTGGTCGACATTTGAATCTGACCTGACCAATAAACTGGCGATTTATATACCTTATATATATTACTAATACCATCAATAGACAAGAGACAATTAAGTGGAAATTTACTAAGTATAGACAGTAGAGTGGAGATTTATTATAATACTGTCAGAAGACGAGATACAATAGAGATTTAATATATTACTAATACTGCAGTAGACGATAGAGATTTATTATATTACTAATATTATTATATTACTAATACTGCAGTAGACGATAGAGATTTATTATATTACTAATACTGTCAGTAGACGATAGACATTTATTATATTACTAATACTGTCAGTAGACGAGAGGCAATGGAGTAGAGATTTATTATAATACTAATACTGTCAGCAGATGAGAGACAATAGAGTTGAGATTTATTATTATATTACTAATACTGTCAGTAGACGAGAGGCAATGGAGTAGACATTTACTAACTAATTTCACTTTTCTTTTCCGTCGTCCCATACCAATAAAGATTACCTGAGCATATTGGTTGGGTCTTCCAATATGCTATAATAATATATGACTGGGGCTATTTTGGTAAAGAATTTGGTTGAGTCAACAAATGTGCCCTATAAAAGACGGAATATATTATTTTAAACATTTTGGTTGAGTTATCAAATATACCCTATTCAGGACAGAGAATATTCTGATAAACATTTTGGTTGAGGTATCAATACGCCCTATACAGAACTGCGAATATTTTTCATGGTAACCATATTGGTTAGGCTATCGCTGTATATAAGTCTGGGAATATTCTTTTAAACAGTTTGGTTGAGTCATCAAATGTGTCCTATATTACTAATTCTTGTGCACGGGTGAAAAAAATAACCAGGAAACTAGCACATGTAAACAAACATTAAGAGTGTGAATAACCAATGTCTGTTTATTACTAATTAATTAACAAGTTCCACCCCATCTAAACATGCTGTCAAATAGTTACACACCTGTATCTTTCTTTATAATAATCATAAACCAGAAATAACTCTCAACAACAGATACATCCGAAATCTACGCCATTAGAATGAAAAAAAGAAAAAGAATTGAGACATATTCCATATTGTGCATCACGAAAATTATGTGCGCAGTTGCTGGGTACATTAAGAACATTTCGTAACATTTTCCATATTGTAAAACTGACAAATAGATATTCCATGTTTTATGTTCACCGAAATAACATTTAATAACTATTAGTGCGGTTCTGCTGTACTTACTAATAGACTTTTGGTTAGTTATGCCTGATGACTAGCCGACTAGTTATTACTGCCTGATCTTTGCCGTTATAGAGTGATAACTCTATACCGATTAGTTAATTGAAGATATGCAATAAAGGCGAACCCCTGCGGGTTGGACTCGGTAATGCAATAAGTACAACATATATTTGTTAACTGAATGAACTCCTCAAATGAGGTGTGATAAGAGTAAGCATATCCTATATAGTGCACTACACCGGTAACTACTAACAGCTAACTGAAGTGGTGGTTTAGATTTCAGAAACCGTTGTCTTCCTATAGGAAGAAGAAAGACACCTGCCTTGTGATTTGAATTTAATAGTTTGACGGTCGTAGAGTAAACGTCGATGCAAAACTTATCATACCTTCAGAAAAGTATTATAATTGAAAGTATGAATTGTTCGACGTATTTGTAATCATAAACTGATTATGTACTCAACAGTTGTTTATGAAGTTGCTTTGGTTTGTTTAAAGGAGCTCGGTGATTCTTTTCCCATGATCAATATGCGTTACATGAAACATCACATGGTTTGTATTCCCACGAACGGCACCGCGCGCACATAATATTTTCGTCTTGAATGGAACTCGACAACATTTCTGAACTATCCGCCATCTCTTTTATGGATTTCTGTTCTCAAGAAGAGCACCCACTACATAAGATATATTCCAGAAAACTCGCCACCGTCTCTTTAAGGTTCACGTTCTAAAGAAGAACGCCTACGTGTGGCTGGCCTTGAATCAGGTTTCCTCGTCCTTGTTGGGGGTGTTAAATGTATTTATCACGTTGGCTACATTATATCCACACCAAACCAATCCAAGTCAAATAAATGAGAATATAAACAAGTTAATCTATTCTTTATTTTGTTTGATCTATTTTCGAGAGCCAGGATGGCTCGGTGAACATGGTCTTGGCTCACTAACCAGGAGGTACCGGTGTTGGTTGAGAAAATTCCTCAGGATTCCTCCAGAAAGGTTTTCTCTTGTCAGTGGTGCTTGACCGAATGCCTCACAGGGAAAGGCTCCTTTTCGTTCGGATGTGACGAAAAACCGACGCCCTGTTTTTAGCATTTGCATTACGTTAAAGATCCTCTAACAGTTGGAAATTGATAAAACAAAAGTAGGCCGTAGTGCCGTTGCCGGGACAGCATTACCCTCATAGCGTATTGCGTTATGTATGCCCATCTACATTAGCCCGGTTGGTGCAAAACATACGACATTAAATCCCCATTTCTGTTTATTTCATTTCATATCTGTTTATTCTCCGCTGATTGAAGCTACTGACCGCCATCTGCATTTTTCTGAGTATATCTCATTTCCTAAACACTGAATTGATTATTTAACATTTATTTAAAAAATGAACACCGAATGTCAGCGGTAGATTATCTTCCAGTTTTGAGTATATCGGATTAAAAAGAGACTCATCAAAATATTGCACCAAGCATTAATGCGTGACGCTGACTTGATTACCAATTTTTGGACCGATATTCTTTTTAGAGATACAACTTTCACAATATTATAATTTGCCAAGGATACAATATGGTTAATTACAATGGAATCAAATTTTAAAGACGACCAGTGACTTTAAGCGCCAAAATATACCGATAAGCTGTTTAATTACCGTTTTATTTGATCCAAGTTGATAATTTTCATAAAATATATGGTAGAGCCGAATCTTCAGTGTCTCAATAAATCGAAAGGAAAAACAGCATTTAATCATCTATCTGTCAAACTTGATTTAGGAAAATTTCCCTATATGCCCCTGATATTTGAATGCCGGCAGTATCGTACTAAATTTAATGCGGTTGTTTTTTTTATATTTCAGGCCTAATGTATGTCCATATCAAGATGTACAAATGGTTATGGTTAAACAACCGTGTGTACAAGCTTTCACCCGGTTAGTAAAAGTATGGAAGCCCGACTGTGGATACACCCATAATTGGTGTGTAGGATACGAAAGAAGGTAAGAACCAATTTTATTACTAATTGCCGTGCCTGTAAACCCGCAACTTGGCACTGTAACCTGCCTGACTTTAACAAACAATACACTTTAATTGAATAAGTCTAGTTTGATGAGTTCGGTCTTACCATTTTTATACTGGGACATGGGGATTATCCGCTAGAACTACTATTGATATCAACGTCGCGGTGCAGCGCGATAAAAAAAACCCCAGTATTATCGGGAATGACCATGCAAACTATGCAGTGAAAAGTCGGCCTTAGTGTCGACAACCACAGTACATATCTGTAACAGGAATGGTGCTGTTCCATAAATTCGTTCACTTAACTGGGAATATAAATTACACCCCACCCATCCCATCTTTAACCTACCAGTCAGATAAATAGGATTTTGTCTTTCAATCCCGGACAAAACCTAGCAACAAATGTGCCCGTTAACTTTATTTAATCTTATTCCTAGACAAGTTCAATGACTTCGTGCAATGACTTGCTGTACAGGAATGACGTTGTTAAAACGCCGTTTGAAATTATATACGCCTGAAGTCGTTTTATCTGTTCAATTGGCATGTTGTATGTTAGTATTATGATGATCCGAGGTAACATATTATATACAACATGTTGCTCAATATTTCAACATAAAATGGCTGTCTATAAACAGACGTTTTAAAAACTATAACAAATTTATATGATGGGATATTTTCACAAACCACACCCAAGATAACACAGGCATACATATAGCCAGAACCGTTTATGACCTTTCCACGCCGACCAATTAACCAATATGATAGGATTTATCATTGAATGTTAACTTTTAATGATTACAGTAACAGGTTTGAACATCAGCTAGTTTTCCGATCGAGTTTTAAAAGGGTGATGATCAAAGATTACATTTAACACGGCCATCAAGCATGTTTAATGACCTACCAAACGTCTATTAATTGTAAATATCAGAATGTAAATTAAAAATGTATGAAAATAATAATTGATAACTCATATTCTGTATATGTTAAGGATAGAGACACCGAAGGAATTATACATATATATCAAAAACGCAAAGTATAAATGTATTTGAAAGTATGTTTTCAAAATCCCAGGGTCAGTCGTATACACATTGGCGTACATGTAAAAGAACTCGTAACAGTTAGAAATTGGAGAAGGGTAGGCGAGCAAAATTCACGTCCCTGGCATTGGATGGATAACCATAAAAATAAAATTGACCAGATGTTTGTCGCAAAATGATCAAAGTATTGGGTTCACATTAAACCCCATTCCAGATAACACATAAGTGCTGGGGAATCCCTCCACAAACACTAAGAATGCAAACACTCCAGACATGGTTAGCCACTCAAAATCATCATTTCCGGCACTTTTATCTCTCAGATGACGTGGAATTACATTCCAATTCTGAAAATTAGCTGATATGGTTTAAATTGTTTTCACATGTCCTCCAGCAATTTTCAAAAACAGGTGTCGTCGGTTATTTCTGTTTCTGCGTTACTCAATATGGCGGCGGTGGCTAATTTGAATTAAATTACACGTTATGGCTGGTATATGAATGCCAGACGCCACAATTTATAGATACGAATGTAAAAATTGGATTGCTGACACCAGCCACTTTGGTCTTTCATAAAACCAATCTGACATGTTTAAAATGTAGCTGAAATCCCTCGTGTCATTCAAACAGTCATATAAAGGCCCCGGCGGTTGAAGGCGAGGAGAGTGCAGTGTTCATCAGTACCACAGGCGACACCAGTCACGATCTAACATGTAATCGCACAATTTCTAAAACTGTAATGAAATACAAATATGGCTAAAGCCGGCAATTTTAAGCCAACCAGGTTTTAAACACCTGGTTTAATTTCGCCTTCTTTAATACGTTAAAACGATAGAGATTTAAAACCGACTTAGGCGTCTGAACGGCATATTAGCAACAGTATCGTTACATAAGGTGGAAATAACAATATGATAGCAAACACACTAAAGTTTAGATTCTGTACGAAACCCAAGATAAGTGGGCGGAAACTGGTTTCTACAAATCGTAGGAATCAATCAACTTTTACACCAAAAGATGGGTTTGACTGGTTACGTGGGTGATCCTGTGTATTTTTATCATGAGGAATTTATTAAGTCATTTATTAAGACGCGTATACAAAATCTACTGAGAAGTCTTCTTATCTCTTATTGGTGTTTTATAGACATTGTCTGACCCCTAGGATCAAACACGACCCTTCAATTCCTTTCGAGAGGGCTATTATTAATCGACCTCAGTACAAACCAGTATTACAGCTATTTTTCACATAGAAATTTAAATGTGTTATACCATTTTAACACCCACTCTAGCCCTATCCTTAAAAAGGTTTATGGAGCAATTTGATACACTTCTAAAGATCCAAACTTTCAAAGAGCTGAACTTTATATCGTACATAAAAAATAACACAACACAGAATATGATACCTGGTGTTAATTTTCTCCAATCTTTAAGTTCTAATAGGGTGGGAAAAGGGGGGGGGGGCTGATTGGTCTAACGCGTGAGCTTTAGTTTATAAGGTCTGTCATTGAGTCAAGTGGCGAGGTTTCGATTCCTCCACTTGTACGTGCAAGCAAAAGGGTCGCCTGCCCCCCCCACACTGCTAGAGAAGCCTACGCTCAACCATATGTTAGTCCCGAAATGACCTGGCTTGTGTTGAATGGACATTAAACATTAAACACACGTCGCATTTTTATATGAATGTAATAATTTGAACGAAGAGGAACGGTCATCCCAACAAACAAATTAACATATAAACCCGATGAATAGAGGCTCAAGTATCATTTTGTGATATTTTAGAATAATGCAATAATTATTTTATAGAGACCCGAACTCCCTAACAGTGACGTTAAATATCAGCCAAAATATTAACGATGATCAACTCCCATTTAAGGCGCTGTAAAGAGTCAGGGCTACGATGGCTCAGCGGGGATAGCGAGCATGGTACTGACTCACTAACCAGATCCCAGCCTGGTTTCTCCTTGTTAGTGGTGCAGGGCGGATGGCCTGGGGAGGAAAAGGTGTTTTCGTTGGCGTGTGCGAAAGAGACCGCATGAAAGTTGTAGGTGTTTTCGTTGGCGTGTGCGAAAGAGACCGCATGACAGTTGTAGGTGTTTTCGTTGGCGTGTGCGAAAAAGACCGCATGACAGTTGTAGGAGAGAGAGAGAGAGAGGAGAGAGAGGGAGAGAAATGGGGTTTAACATCCACTCGACACAAACTAAGACATTTCGGGAATAACATATGCTTCAATTCTATTTCAATAATTCGCTTGCGCGTACGTAGGGGTCTATAGCAGCGAGGGGAAACTGGGGGACCCGGAGAAATCCCACGAGATTAGACAGGCGACCTTACTCCTTGCAACGTAAAACCGGGGAATCGAAACCACGCCAGTTGACTCAGTGATATACCTTATGATACAACGCACACACGCTAACCATTCGGCCATCAACACCCCCACCCCATGACTGCTGGACTTTGATAAAGAGTAGGTGGTAACACCTCATTTCCCGGTTGGTGCAGAAAAGTAGGACGTTAAACAAAAGTCATCAAATTTCAAAACAGACTACGATAATTGATTGGTCTAATACAAGATGAAAATAGCAGGTCTGCTCTTTCCCGGATAGCTTCTTATCTTTAGGGAAAAGTACTTCATGTCCGTCTGATTGAAGAAAAACAGATTGTTGGCCAAGAAAGTTGCCCGGGATTTTCTATTGTGGTTTCCCCTTGTCATTGGTGTAGGAACAGTGTCTAGTCATTCTGATGGGACGGTAAACCGATGTCTCATGTACACGTTGGCGTGCACGTAAAGGAACCTTTGACATTTGGGTCACATTAAAAATACTTTCAATTATCAATGAATACTCTCAACAATGTAAGTTAGGTAATATTCCAAAAGGTAGATCTATTAAAAAAGGGGATGACAATACAATGTACATTAAACATAGATGTACTTTCGTAAAAGGCAGGCATTCTATAGCACTATATTATATTTGAGCATTGTTCATTTTCTGTGAATTGACAGGCTTGTTCATCGCAAATGATATGGAATTCTTTATTAATACGTATTGGCTTTAAACGCCACTCGCGTTCTCATTCTCTTCTGGTCTTGTTGACTGTAGGTTTGTGACCGGAATCAGCTGATCGTGACGAAGTTCTCTGAATCCCGCGTGATTGTTGCATGCGAAGTCCAGCTTGTACCTCGATGTTCGAGTAGGATTGAAATGTCGGTAAAGACTGTATCAATAATGAAGATAGATACTTTACATATCGGCCATATGTTTTCAACTGACATGCGCTTTAGTTATACCAACCTTGAGGAAACGACATGTGTTTATTTATCGCTTCTTTTCTCACATCAAAACATGTTTCAGTTTGTTATAACTCCCACGATTTTCCATTCTATTCAAACATTTTTCAGTATGTTATAATAACTCCCAGATTTTACCATTTTATTGAAACATAATAACCATTATAATCAAACATGTTTTTAGTTATGTTATATCCATTATAATCAAACATGGTTTAGTACGTGTTATAACCATTATAATCAAACATGTCTTTGGTATGGTATAACGCCCACGATTTACCATTCTATATAAATAACTAATCCTGTATTTTGATTCCGGTGGTAGATACTTTGTTTTTCTTTTACGAACTCCTTGTCCAAATAATCGGCGACATACTTCAGTCTTACTGACTTACTGCAATTGGCCAATATTGACATTTTAAGGGTAACCAGAGTGACATCTCTTCGCCATGTCCCATTTTCAATGTAATCAACGAAAGTACATGGATATTTGAAATGTAAAATGTTCTATGATTATCCTCAACAAATGCTAACTCGTGTGACCTAATTCTCGTAATATATTCCTAATCAAACAGCTGAAAAAAATATGGTCTTCTTTTTGACTGATAAATGTTTAATCTAATGTTTCACTTAAACATTAATAATAATGAGAAATACAAATTACCATTTG